TTAATTTCAGAGATACTGTCAACTTCTGAATCAAGAGGATTCATAACTTGTGAATCATCTAGACGGAGAGATTCTTGTTGAGTCTGGACTACGAATAAATCCAACATCCGACTCTCAGGCATAATCTAGACATTACAAGTATAGTCAAATAAATAATAATTTAATTATTAGTTTATTATCATTAGTCTAATAACCCTTAATAATATAATTCTATTAATAAAAATTTTATAAACGATTTCACATGAATGCGACAAAATTCTTTTCGTTCAACTTAAATATCATTGAAAATATTGGAAAAATATTCTTTCTCTCCTCGTGTGTTTTCAAATAAAACTTATATTCAGTTTTCTTTGAAAGTATTATCACACACATGAAAAAATACCTGATTTATTATATACACGCCGAACAACGTAGCAATACCCTCGTTCAACCACATGCAAGACCACCATGATGGACTAACCGCAGTACCAACCAATTGACCAACCACTTTACGTCCTATTTTACGTGATAACTCTATTTTGCGTGCAATGGGATCTATTTTTTCATTGTAAATAATATCTTCTTCTCTAAACATAACAAACAAATGATTCGTTATATACAAATATTCACAATGTATGCTATTTTTTAATACTGGTAGCATTACATACTATATAATATTTACTACGTTTCTTTATTCTACAATTTTTATTATACAATGCTTACAATATTTTATTATAAAAGTATAAAAATTAATTTTTTTTAAACATATTCTACCTGTAAAGTACGAACGCCAATTTATCCACGCCGTCATCTGTCAAACCTGCGATCACAAATTGATTTCTTAATAAATTTCCTTCCAGTTGCCATGTATGTTCAACAGTACATGTGACATCTTCAATTAATCTCAAAATTTGGTCCCATTGTACTTCCATCAACTCTCTTCTCCATAATTTGAGGTTTTGTATGGGTGAAATATCAGTATAATCATGCTTATCAAATATCACAATTCCTATTCGGTACGTGGATATTTCAGGAATAATTACGATATAGTATGTCGTCAAAGATTTTGACGTAGATGCAAAAACGAAAAGAATTTGAAAGAACATTGTAAGATTCAGGAACATTTACAACAATGACAAATTCAGCTTTTAATCCGGGTTCGTTCCAAACTATGGAAAGAGTCGTCGCATTCCTATCGCTGAGTTATTTGTTACGATCAGCCATCTAAC